TACTGGCTGAAGTATGGTTTTGTTAAGTCAAGAGGGAAATCACAACATTGGTACCCAATGCAGGATTAATGATGAGACGGAAGAGACTGCCCGACAAGATTTTGCTCGAGCAACTGGTCTGGATGTTCGCTATGTGATGTACCTTCGTCAAGATGAAGTTGATGCCTTGATCAAGAAGACTGCTGGTGATGATATGAACGAGTGCTTGAAGTTGAGGCATCTCTGGCAAACATGCTCTGCGACTAAGTCGACTACTGGTAGGAGTATTTTACAACAAAGGCAGTTTACTGGTGGATACAGATATCATGCTCGTATTCCCGATGTTGTTGCTCCTTCAGAGTCGAGCCGTGGTGACACTGCTAGTATTGCCGATTATCATTTTGATAAGCAGTCCTCGGCTGACGAAGCTACTAATGTGCGATCTATGGGAGTGATATCTTCTCTACCGTTACCTGCAGGTGGGAAGGTGTTCTCTGGACGGAGTGATCCAAGACCCATATTTTCTTTCTCAAGGAATGGCTGCAAACTTGTAAACTGTATGGTCTTTCCTTGGATAACTGTTGGAGGTTTCTACTCAAGTGCCTCTCTCCCAGTGTCAAGAGCGAGCTCATTGATATGCTTGAAGAAAGGCATCTTTTACTTGAGGGTGCTATAGAGAGTAGACTAGCTGCTGCTGAGACCTTTTTGCGTTCGGCCTTTGACGTAACGAATGATAGTATTCGCTACCGAAATCGTCTATCGCAGGTTAAACAACAGAGTAATGAGCTCATTGGCGACTACATTGGTCGACTACGAGAAGGTGTTATGGAGGGTAAATGTATTGGCCTTACGATTACACAGGATGAGATCTTGGATAAGTTCGTTAAGGGTCTGAAGCCCAATTACCAGAAAGCAGTCAAGGCTACCTACTCTCACATAAGAGATGTAAACGAGTTGTGCTCTGTGCTTAGTCTTTGGGAGAATGCAAACATTGACTCTTCAGTGAATGCTGTTGCTGATGAAGCAGGAGATCTTGGAGCTACGGTATCACCGCCGACGATTAATGCTACGTTGGAGGTGGCGAAGAACTCTCCATCTGAGGTGAAAGGAGAGAGACCCACTCGATCT